TGAACGTGCTCAATTGCGACTGTATTTCAAAAACACAAGTCTCCTTTTCAATCAGGCATTTTTGAACTTCATTCTGATTTAACTATAAATATTCTCGCAGTCCGCGTATCAGGTGTTTTGATCTTCTGGGATTTGCAGGTCGGCTGTGACGCTGCGTTTGAAACACGCGATGTCTGATTTTATCTCTCTGATAGATCTACTAAACTTGCGAAAATGGATCTGCACATGCATGTTTAGACCTGCAAACCATACAAAAGGGTTCAACTACCAGCCTATGTAAGGCCTAGCCTACGCCTTGCTGCTAGTCTGGGGACTTGGTTTAGCCAGTCGACCCTAAAGTAATCTACAGTTTTTTCTGTTCTACAAGACGCACTTAAAAGCTTTTGATTTTTTCATAAAACAACAGTGCGCCTTATACATAGATTGATTCTGGTTACTGACCTTGAAACGTTTTTGTGTGGTACATGGCGCTGCGTTAACCCGTAGTCACGAGCGTCACGGAGTAATAATATACTGCGCTTCACCATACTATTACAGTGTGTGTGAATGTGGACCCCAAATTGGCTCCAGCCAAAAGATACGCTTACGACGTGGACTTCAAACTCAAAAATATCAGTCAGGCAGTAGAACAAGGGATTAGAGCGGTTGCGAGAGAATTTAACATTAACGAACTTGTGGTACGGAAGTGGAGGAAGCAAGAAGATGACCTGCCCCGAGTAAATAAGGACAGAGTTTCCGAGGAAACACACTGCTGGATGGCCACCGATAGAAGAAAAAATTGAACAGTGGGTTATTGAATAGAGAACAGCAGAGAAAAGTGTTTCTGCGGTCTCTATTCGACTGAGGGCAACAACGGTAACACATGCCATGAATATTAATGACTTTCCAGGCGGTCTTTCTTGGTGCTTTCTTTTTATGAAAAGACGTAATCTCTCCATCAACTCGGACACAGACGTTGAAGAATCTGTTTACGAGGTATGAGAGTATTGTGTTATGTGTTATAACTGAACAGTTTCGAGAGTTATTGTGAATACGCTAATGTTTGCTCTAACGGTGTCAAACTCTGTTATGTATGTGTTACAACTAAAAATGGTTGAGCGTTATTGTGAATGTGTTTGATAAAGTTTGACTCCTCGACTGTTTTATTTCCCTAAATGTGCTGATGCGCTTTTTCTTAAAAAAAATTAGAAAATAAACCACTCCTTGACAATGCGAAAAATACGGTAGTTGGGTATAATGCGCTCGACCTCATTGTGCATTACGAAGCAGATTCACGTTGCTCTTATTTCTGCCTTGGCATTTACCCTTTCCTACACATTGACAGGCGATGCTACTAAACTGCTCATATTTATATCTGTAACCTTTAAGGGTGATAGTATGTCGAATACAGTCAAGCGAAAATTGCGTTGTACCACAGAAAGGACGAACACACCCGAATTTCTCTTCATCAGTCCTATTAAAAGCCTTCCGGTAAAAGGGCCAAAAGATGCCTTGTCGTTACACGCAACCCCAGCTTGTATCTATGATTTCACGTGCACTTGCGGATGCAAGTACGTTGAGCGTACGCAAAGGCAGCTGGCAGCCAGAGCCGCTGAAGCTTTGTCTAATTGGCTTTTCCGGCAAGAAAACCGAGTACCACGATCTTCGATTACTAGAAAGTGGTCGCTCGGTCGACCCGAAAACAGTTGTCCAAGTAATTGTTCGGGCCTACATACAGCAGGAGAAACTGGACCTGTGCAAGCAGCTAGACCACGTGTTCACTCTCAAAGTACCTTGGTTATTGGGCAGTTAGTCTTAATCATGACTTGGTTTGCCCCAACTTCCTGTCCCCTTTCTCCCTATAGGCTAATGTAATGTAGTTTCTTTCAGGTGACCATTATTTACACTAAACTATGACCCTTGTTGTTATACATTGAGATCCTGTAAAATTCAATCTGCTTTTTGCTTCTACCCGTTATCTGATTCGTGCAACGACAGAATGCAGTTGGAAAACCGTCGCTGAATTTGTTGAATTCGATAAATACTGCTGTTTACGCTGGTTTTAAATTCGTACTGGGCAACAATTGCTTTAAACCGCTCTTCCTTCCCTCCGTATCCTCTAGATGGTAATACATGCCTGCATGGAGATCTGCGGCAGGACCCTGTCCTGCGGAAAGCACACCTGCGAGGATCCTTGCCATTGCGGTCCCTGTGGCAGCTGTTGGCGTGGTGTCATCTACGATGAGGTCCACTGCTACTGTGGCTACACCGTTCTTTCACCGCCACAGCCCTGCGGCACTAAACCACCCGAATGTGACCAACCCTGCA